AGATAAAATAAATAAATAAGTAAAATAAAATAAAATTAAATAAAATAAAATAAAATAAAATAAAATAAAATAAAATAAAAAAAAATAAAATAAAATAAAAGAAAACAAAATAAAATAAAACAAAAAAATAAAATAAATAAAAAATAAACAAATAAAATTAATAAATAAATAAAATAAAATAAAATAAATAAATAAAATAAATAAACAAAATAAATAAATAAAATAAATATATAAAATAAATAAATAAATAAAAAATATATAAATAAAATAAATCAATAAAATACATAAATGAAAAAAATAAAACAGAATAAAATAAAATTTATAAATAAAATAAATAAATAAAATGAAATATAATAAAATATAATAAAATAAAATAAATAAATAAAATAAACGAAAAAATAAATAAATAAAATAAAAAAATAAAATAAAATAAAATAAAATAAAATAAAATAAAATAAAATAAAATAAAATTAGAAATAAAAAAATTAATTAAAATAAAAATTTATGTAACAAAATAAAATGAAATAAATAAAATAATATAAAATAAAATAAAATAAAATAAAATAAAATAAAATAAAATAAAATAAAACAAAACAAAACAAAATAAAATAAAATAAAATTAAGCAAACAAAATAAAATAAAATTTGATAAAATAATATAAGGTAACATAATATAAATAAAATAGAATAAGATAAGAAAAAATAAATAAAATAAAATGAAATAAAATAAGGTAAAATAAAATTTTATAAAATAAATAAAATAAATTAACATAAACCAAAATAAAATTTAATAAAATAAAATAAGATAAAAATAAAATAAAAAAAATAAAATAATATATAAAAAAAATACACATAAAATAAACATAAAACGAATTAAAACAAAATAAAAGTGAGCTTTAAAAATTAAAATAAAGTAGAAATATATCTATAATCGAAATATAACAATAGGTTAGATTAGGTTCTACTATCGTATATCCTAGGGAATCAACTTAGGTCTATTGACTCATTGTGATACCGTATATAGATAACATAGAGTTTATGGAGGAAAATTTGGAGTTTAAAAATTAACAACAACAATTAGTGAAAGTAAAAAAAAATACATATTTAATAACCTGATTATATGTTAAAACAATTCAAATAAAAATACATTACTATATAAACAAAGTAAAAATCGAACAAAAACAAAACTTATTTAAAATAAAATAAAATTAAGATAAAAATGAAAATAAACAAAATATAAATAAAACTAAATTTTTATAAAATAATTAGAAAAATATTCTACAGAATTATTTTAGTAATTAATTATAGTTATTTTAAGTTGTTAAATTTCAAAACTATTCTTTTGTATAGACTTTATTTAAAATATAATAACTAAAAAATATAAATATAAATTATTAATTGAATTTTTCTAATGCTGGTTTATGATTTCGTTCTAATATAAACACATAAAGTTAATTTGTTAATGAACTTTCATAGTAATTTAATATAAAAAAGCGGTGACTCTGAGCTTCAAATTTGGCAGGGTACGAGTTAGATTCATGGTACTTGCAGTCTTAATACGATACAAGAAAATGTTTTCCAAATAATTTAAGAATATTTTGACTTTCTGTTTTTTGAGAATCTATTTCGAGTTTGTTCTTTTCTAAAGTGATGTTGATTTCCAAATAATAAAACGCATCTTAAACTTGACTTTATAATACTTAAAAAACTTGAATCTATCAATGTATTACTATATATTCACTCAAATAAATGTGTAAAAAATTACATGAATATTTGTAATAAAATAAAGGACATAAGGTGGAGTAACAATATTCTATCTGTATAATTTACAGACACCTAATCAATGCATACATGTATATTGTACTTTAGAGACAATGTATATAGTACTTCGGAATAGATAAAACCTTGTCTCAGATAATTTATGCTTTATTACTAATTTCATTATATAACTAAGATTTTTTGATCAACAAAGCTTTGATTTTTGATTTGATTTTTTAAAACTATTTTTATGGAAGACTAAATAAATATTTTTTTTATAAATTTTATAAATCTAAACATAAGTGTTTCACACATTGTTTGGCCATTTTTGGGAATGGAAAATCAAAATTCAAAATTTTTAACCGAGCCTATGGATGCTAATAACAGTCATGAATTTGGTACAGAGAATCAATTGAGTCTAGAAGTAAATCCTTTTATTGGCTTGTTTCGTAGGGACGTGTGTGTAATTAAACCAAGCCCATCCCAAAATTTGGAAACTGATTTACCCAGTTCGAAGGAATTTGAAGAAAAGTTACCTAACAGCAATCAGTCAAACTCAAAACAGTTGCAAGAAATTGGTTCCGAAGATACTGACATCGAGAAAAACAAATGCAATGAAAATAAGGAACAGTATTTGGACGTGAGTGAAAATACAGAACAGTCTATAGATGACGGTCTTCACGATTCGGGCCTATTGACTGGTACTGTAGCAGATATGAAGAACGACAAAATGAGTAAAAATAACGAACAGTCTATACAGGACGATCTCCATGAAACCACTTTGATTGACGGTCTACACGGAAATACTACTCCAGATATGAAGAAAAAGTTAAATGAAAATAAAAAACAGGCTATAGTTGATAGATTTCTAAATAGCGGTAATGGGGATCATTCCGCTTTATGCAAAGATCAAAATAGCGATATATCTGATGTTGAATGTGATTCACATATATCACCAGATACACGAAAATTGGAATGTTTTGAGTCTAACCAGACACTTATTAGTGTAGAAGGAAATAATATTAAAAACAAGATATTAGCTTGGGAGAAATTATCCAAAACAGGAATATCTAAGTATTCAGAGATGTCCGAGTTTAGTGCATTTGGAGAGAGCCACTCAAATCCTGAGATTGAAAAGAATTGCATGAAAATGAAAAAATCTAATGTGAAAAAGACAATTAAGCAAACTAGTTCAATAAGTGTTGATCCAGAAAGTTTTATACCAGATGCGAGCGAAGAAACTAAAATCCGTGCGGGATTCGCAGTAAGGCCAGTCTCGCCTAAAATTGCGAATCTTCAGGCTACCATTTTACAGAAGCTCAAATAAGACTCATAATTTCAATATTCAGTAGTTCTGGAGGTTCGCAAAATATTAAGAACTGATGTCATCTTGAAACATGAAAGGTAAGACAAAATTAATGAAAAGTGATCAAAGGTTTGTTGTTATTATCTGACAATATGTGAGTTCTTTTGTATAATATATATATGGGTACAATTTATTTAAGCAAAGATAATTATTTTGATATATCAGGAGTTTCACAATTTTAGAAAATGTTTGGTTTCACGTAAACTTCAAAATTTTCTAATTAATGGTTTACAATAAAGTCGAAATATTACATATATTAATATTAGGATAATAAACATGTAAGTTGTAATATATTTTGAACAGTAGTAAATCACAACAACAAAATTTTATTATTAAGCAACAACTCTATTAATTAGTTATTAACTATAATTATTGTTAATTTACTATTAATTAAAATAATAGTTTCTGTTAGGAAACATGGATCCTTTCGTCATAACTGACATAATAAAATAAATTTTACCAAATTAAGTTCTTCTTCATCAATTATCACAATTAAATACAATAAACAAGAGTTTATTTGTAAAGATTTGTCCTTTCTCAAAAAAATATAGCGAATAAAGTTTTTAGAATATATGTTAAAATTTTAATATAATAAATGAATATATGAATTTCAATATACATATGTTGTATAAATAAAATTATATATTTTTACTTAGCTCGTATATGAGATAACTACCAGCTTTGGCAAAAAAACACAAGGCAAGAAAAGGACGTCAACGATCTAATGAGTAGAACAGCAATTCCAGATTCGCAATATCAAAATTGCGTTTTCCATATATAAATATGCAGTCTATATACTTCTAAGTAAGTGGTTAAACTGAAGTTATAATACCACTGGAACTTATGTTGCTCAACTTATAACAAATAACATAAAATGTAGCACTTTATTTCCATAAAAGTTACTCAAGAATGGAAAATAATGGCCCTGAACAATAAAAAAAAATTTTCCCTAAAGGTAAGTTTAGATTAGTTAAAATGCATAATTTAACTCAAACTTAAAAATAAAAAAAATTTGGTAATATATTTCAGATATCAGATGGACATTGAAAATGGATACGTAGAGAGTCTGTCTTTTGAAAATGCAGCAATAAAATTAAAGCAAGTTTTTCTGGTTCTAGCAAATTGAACGATCGATCTGAAATATATGTAAGCCATGTGAAAACCTTGAACCTATACGAAAGATGTAAATAGTGCAGGAGAATATCAGTCAATCAAAGGAACTCTACTTGTTCGCTGAGATGAACATAAAGTTGATGGAATCGAGCAGTAAAACTACTCCTACAAAAGTCAAGAAAATTTAAGGGTAAGTTCAAATATACGAATGGATTGTGAACTGTAACTAATCAAAAATATTCTGTTTTGATCTCTTCAGCAACACAATATTTCATAGGTACTGCTTATGGATGGAACAAAATTGTTAGAAACTTCTTCACCAATGACCGTATTGCAGTGTTCGAGAACGTTCAGTATTTTACCTATATGATTGTGATAGTTAATAATGGCACTAAAATGCTATAATACTGGTATTAATTTATTCTAAAGAAAAATTCTTTAAAACTACAGATGTGGAATTCCTCCTCTTCGTAAAGATGAAATAATGTAACACCGAAGACACGTCACAACACAAGTACAGTTTCTGAAGCTAAAGTATCTTACCAACGTCTATTAGTTATTAACAATATCATCTGTTTCTCAGTCTTTTCAAATAACTTAAATATTGCTAAATGTATGTGTATAGCACGCCCTAACTCCTGATGCTGCCTGATATGAATAATCGCCAATATTAGATGAAAAATTTGATCAGGATTAGAAGAAGTATATGGAAGAACACAATTTGCAATTATATGACAGAAACAATTTCTGGTTGCATTTAATTAAAAAGAAACGTAAACTAGATTTATTTGAAAACATTGCAACTTTAAATACTGTAAATACTTAATTTCAACTATAAATCGTCTAATTTGTATTAAAAGTAATCATGTCGGCTTGTAAAACGATCTACCACTACTTGAAGATTTATTCCTCTAAGCCACATTCAACCAGAAAATGAACTTAAGCCATAAGAAAATATATGCTTACATTGCAAAGGATGCTTTATTTGATACAATAGAGAAAAAAACCACCTGCACAATAAATAAATAAACAAAGAATTTATTTCATAAAAATATAAAAACTTATTTTTAAAGTTTTGAATTTATCTTTCTTAATTTTAAACTGGATTTTATATAGTATTTTAACTGCATATAAGAACAACTAAATTTATTTTAGTCACACTCGTATAAATACATATACAAAGTTGTTAACCAATGCCTATAAATTTAAAATATCTCCAGAACTTTAACAAATTAGTATTTATTTTAGTATGAATTTTTTTTTCTTATTACATATGCCTTAATGATAATGAGAAGTATTGATGAAAGTAATTTAAAAGTATCTTTTTGACTTAGGCAAAGGATATTTTGACATTAAAAGCTCATTACACCGCAATATATATTGGCGTTCAGAGCTACAAACAACGACGACAACGGACTTACTGAGTCTTTGACAAAAGGACAATAACTAATACTAAAAGGCTGATATGATGCAATGGCACAACAATAAAATTTGGGTCACTCATCCATGATAAGAAGATGGGAAGATGGGAAGATGAAGAAACTTTAAATATGACAACTCTTATATAAGAGTGACGGAAACACAGCACCAAAGTCAAAGGGAAATACTCTAGCAAAGTGTTTGCCAATGGCACAAAATCAGCAACAATAGCTTATACGAGTGCATCATCATACACGATGCTGGATGGAGATACAAAGAGAATCGGAAAAGCATACAAAACTATTAGCGCCTCCCAAAGCAAAATTGGCATTCAGTTAACACAATGAAAGCGCCATTACATATAAAAAAGTTTTTATGTAACTTTTCAGATATATTTTCATCTTAGCCTTAATGTATCTACATTAGAAAAACTCATGCAACGAAGTAAAATGTTTGTAGGGTTGCTAAAGTAGGTCTGCTTAGATATATAACCATAAATTTTGAGGAAAAAATCATATAATTTTTTAATTTTGTCAAGAAGTTTTTATATAGTCTTTCAACTTCAGTCTTTCAGAGTAGACTCTCTTCCTTTAATATGCATTCATTAGTATGCACTATGTATTTTTGCCACTGTAGTTTTCAATTTGAGAAATATTCTTGGAACTCCCTTTTATGTAAGCCATAAATGTATACACTTTTTTCTGGATTGTGAATCCAGATGATTGTGAAGTTTTTTAAACTATGTATAATACATTATTTACAGAAGTGAATACAAAAACTTTATGAATTCTTTAAATTTATTGAAATTAAAGTTTTTATTCACGTTTTATGGATTCGTTTAATATTTTATTATATTAAAAATTATATTTAGAAGGTTTCGAATAGCAAAGAAAGATAGAACAACAAAAATTTTAGTTAATTTATTGAAATTTGGCTGACCATACAACCGAGTACTCATCATCAGTGGTTTTAGGAAATATTCGAATTCCTTAATTAACTTATGGACCATATATAATTTGTTTGTAAGTGCATTATAAATGTCATTATGTCATTATAAAAAAGCGTTGATGTCTCGGCAAAACTAATTAAACTTTAAAATATTCGAATTTGTAATAATTACTATAATATAATTATAAATTATTATTAAAAATATGCTCTGGATAATCCAGCCAGCATAATCCAGCAACAGACACATCGTAAAGCTCATCAGTAACACACATTTAATCTTCCGATTTAGTTCTGGGCTTTTTACAACTGAATACCAACATCACCCCCTTGGCTATTTGTCTGCATATCACTTACAAACATTTTTCCTACTAAATCACCGTTAACATACAATCACTGTTAATATATACCATATACAGTTCTTCTTCTGTTAAAAACTTATAAACAACAGATTTTCTATTTGCAGTGAGTTTTGCGTGAAGAATTATTCAAATACAATACCCCAGACGGTTGAGGCGTTGTCATGTTTTGGCCTGCATTATTATTTGACTGTCATTGCACGCAGAGTAGTTTTCCAATGATTTCCATAGAAGCACTTCAGCAACAACAATTCATTAGGACTTTTAACATTTAGAAAACTGAAACTGCAAAGAGAAGAAATTCATTAACATATTAATGCTCTCTCTGTTGTTAAATACAAAAAAAATTGTAAGATCATTGAGCTTAACTGCACTGCCACAAATAGAAAAAACAACAAAGCAGCAACCAAAACATTTTATTTTTGCTGAATTATGTTAAGTCCGTGCTTTATTGCTCTTATTCCGTGATTAACAGAAGACTTTTTTAGTCGATTTTGGTTCGTGTTAGTTCCGAGTGGTTTTGGTTGATTCGTTCGGTTGTATTTACTATAATTATCATAAATTATTAGTTAATAATATTAATATAAAGTAAATATATAGAGAAAAATGTGTTTTAAAAATAATGGTATTGTCCTTAAGTGGTTAAATTAAAATCATTTGTGTAAAAATAAAATTAAGTGATTCTGTAATAAAATGCGTGTTCAATGTAGTAGTAAGAAATGTAGTAATGTTTATAAAATAAAATATATAATTTTAAACAATTAATGTGTCGTAAATAATATGAAATTTAATAAATGAAAATCACTTATCAGTGCATTGCATTCTAATATAAAATCAAGTGGGAACGAGTGAAACAAAAGCTTCTAATGAAATCAATATAACAGTTGTCAGTGAGAGTGAAGTTGAGGAAAACTGTTATACAGTGCCTTCCAGTAAGAAGTAAGTTATATTGATTAAATCTGTTATAAATTATTTGTTGTTAGTTTGTAGTTTTATTAAAAAAAATTGTTTTTTTTTGCTTCAAAATAAAATAAAACTTATAAGTGACTTTTTAGGGAAAAGAACAAAGGTTCATGAGGTATTTGGTTATTAATAATATTAATTAACAATTAATAATAAAAAAAAATACAAAAATCGTTCTTAATTAAAATAATATGGAGTTAAGACTCCTACTTAGCCGATATAAAATCATTTAATTACTGCATTTTATTAATTTGAATAATTCATGTAATTTATTGATATTCATTCTTAATTGGAAATATTAAATTATTTAATGTATTTTTTAAATAATAAAATCATTGCGATTAAAGAACAATTAAATTGTTTATTATATTATTTTGAAATAAATATTAACTTCCATTTTATTTTTCTTTATTTTACATATTTTTCATATAAATTTATTTACTTAATTTTTTGTTTAAATTCTCAAAATCTTTTGAAACTAAATATTTTATTTTAATTGCAATCCTTGTATTAAAACTTTTAAAATAAATTTATATGTAAATGGTAAATGGTTGAGTGTAAATGCAAGATCATTGGTTTAGTCTTAAGTATGTGTATTGATGTTGGACTCAGTTTCTAATTGCTATATGAAGACGTGGTTTTGGAATTTAGTTTGTAAAATACAGGACTCAAGTTAGATCGAATTAAGTTTTATATTTATCATATTATATTAATTAAAATTAAAAATTTATAATATTTAACTAATGTATTATTTATATATATATATATATATATTTATATATATATATATATATTAGGGTGGCCGAAATATGTATGGGGGCAAAAAAATGTGTTCGAATTCTAGATGCCACCCCCTAAATTTATTCGAATATTCAAAAAACTACTAAATGTGAAGTTTTAGACAAATCGGATAATGTTTAGAGGTCGCTCATCGACCTTAAACTTCGGAAAAATGCCATTTTTTCACTTTTTTCAAATTTCTTCGCTCCTATCTCGCGTATTTTTCACCTTTGACTATTTGTACCAAATTAATATTATTCTTTAACATTTTAGCTTTCAAATAAGGTAAAAATCAATCAATTTCGTCCACAATTAACTAAATTATTACTAAAATAAGAAATCATACTCGACGTTTATTGAACCTTTCAAGAGCAGCATAAATATGGGAGTAAATACGAGTACGTATGAGCGAAAGCACAGTTTCTTGGACACAAAATGGTACAATATAATATTTGAAACAATCAAATACTTCCTCACTATATATAATTGTCCACACTTGATTTGAATAAAATGCACAAAATAGATTAATAAATATAATAAAAGGAAAGGAGTCCTTAAGTAAACAAAAGAAATTCTCTTAGGTGTTAAGGATGAAATAACAACTTTTTGTTACAAAGAACTACAAAAATCAATTTGCAGAGATGACTATAAAGAACTATTGGAACTAGTTATCATCTCTTTGGGAGAAAGTTCATCACCAATATTCCGTGACCCTGGACCAATGCAGCATGCTCGTTGGATGTCCAAAGCCCTTTACTGTTTAAAGATATATTTATTTCGAAATGTGTTCATCTTTCGAAGAGCAAAAGCTAAAAGAAATCTGTTTGTTCATAATACATGTTTACGTAAAATATTGGTTCAAATGTGTTATAGCATCAGAAGCAGCTTACCAAGATTTTTGTTTTATAAAAGAAATGTATAATTATAGATGTATTGATAAGACAATATCTGAGGCTGCTATTAAGAAGATGTGTAACCATTTATGGTATTTATCCGATGAATGAATTGGTCTATCATTTTTTGATGACAATATTCCAATTAAAATTAAAAAAAAATGGCAGATAAGTTAAAAAAAATTATATCAATGAATGTTGAAGTAGATAGTTGTGATAACAATGAAAGCCACGACAATGTGGACGATATTAAAAAAGACGGAGAAAAACGAATTCTTTTGAAGACGGAGAATGTAACCGATTTTTTATCGAAATCACTAGAGGATTTTGGGACAGCCAATACCATTAACTTTTTTAAGCGATTCAATATATCTACAGATTTCTTGAACCTAAAACCAGAAAAATGGAACCAACATACAGATTATGTACACGCGTTAAAAATTGTTCACAGTATAAGACCTGTTAATGATGCGGCAGAGCGAGGAGTAAAACTTTTCGAAGAATTCAATAGAGTCCTTTGTAAAAATGAGCGAGATAAACAATATTTATTGCAAGTAATAGCAGATTATAGAAAGACTTTGAAAAAGTATACTAAAACGGTTTTGTCAAATAATAAATAAATTTAATATTTTTTTTAAA